CATCTGAAGGGTGATGAAGTGATCATGAATGTCATCATGCAAGACCACAGACCGAGCCCCATAGTCAATCGTCGCACAACGATGGAGGAGCCAACCATCGCCGAGAATCAGATCAATGCCGGGGGTCATCTGGAGGACGACACAATGCAAACGTTCCCGATAGGCCTTGATCTGAACGGTGAGCACCGTCTCCCCCACGATAGGAGCGGTGTGGCTAGAAGCCACCTGCACCTCGACGCCAGTGAGAGGGGTGTAAGAAATCCCATTCTGTTCGCAGAATTGCTGCGAGAGGTAATGGGTACCTTGGGCGCTTGTGTCAAGGAGGCACTGAGCGGGAGCGCCAGCAATACGGCCTGGAAGACAAAGGGCCAAGCGGCCCTCATCAGTCTAGCGAGCAGAACAGATGGCGGGCCGAGGAGGGTCATAAAAAACGTTCACCCCCCAAGGAATGCTTGGAAGAGGAGTGCGGGATCCATCCGTACAAAGGGCGGTAAAGAGGGGCGTCCTTTGCTCGTATTGCACTAAATGCATGCCACGAAGCCCAAGGTGCACGGCCTTGCGCTAAGCCAGCACCAGAATACAGGCACTGGTATCCTAAGGGGAGCGCGCCTTCTCGGCAAGGTAGTGATCAATGAACTCATCCATGCGGCTGAACGGGGGGTTGAGCCAAACATGGTGGCCCGCTAGAGACTCACGAAGGAAATCCCGGGTGGGGGAGCAGAAATCCGGGACCATAGCATTATGGCCGAGGGGATCTGCGCAGGCGTCAAGAGTAAAGGGGCGGCCCACCTGCTGAGTAATGCGCACAAACTCAGGGTGCAAGATGGCTCGATCCTCGCGATTCCACCAATCCCGGCGAGCCAGAGAGGGTCCGGCGAGGAAGCGGAGCCCGAAACGGGAGGCGGGTGAGGTGAGGAGTGCCGGGCCACACAACCCGATCGGGGACGACCGTGGGTGATCAGATCAGACTGGATCAAGTGCCAAGGCCGAGGAGCGGTCGCGGGGGGCGCGCCGGGAATGATCGCCGTAAGCAGAGGCAGATCGCGTAGGGCGGCAGGGAACCGCGGGCGACCGGATCCCGAAGGGCCATCACAAGGATGCTGGTCCAAGGGGACAACAAGCGTCTTGAGCGGAGATGAGAGGCCAGAACCCGGAGTACCCAAGGGGGATATGGGCCCCAAGGGTGAGCGGGAGGCCAGAGAAGGGAGCGATCCCGGGGCAGCCGGGGGGCCAACAGGGCCCGAAGAAATGGCCGTGACAGAAGAGAGCGGGATCAAACTCGACAGAGGATCGACGGCCGGGAGAGAGGGCGCAGTACCCCCGAGAGACGGAGAGGGATGCACAGAACAGGGAGGAAGAGCAGACAAGGGGGGAAGTGGGGGGAGCGAAAAGGAAGCAAGCTCCCCCCGAGGATCCGCATCGGAACAACAAGGCAAGACAGGTTGGTCAGGAATCCCCGAGGACAAGGAAGGGGGGCGGGAAGCAGGAGTTGAATCCATGCCCAAAAGGGGCGCCATAATCCCGAGTGGGACAGACAACCGAGAGCACCACTGGGGAAATGCAGGGAGACTCATCAGCCAATCAAGAGGGGGCAAGCGGTGACGGTGATCCCGCTGGAAGGCGCAATGAGGTGGGTCGCTCCTCCGCCGGGGCTGGGTGTATTCCTCCCAGCACCAAACGCAAGCTCCATGTGGGCCACGGGCGCGGGTGGCCAGCCAGAGGGCGTGGGGGAGCCGACCAGCCAGGGGTACACCCTCAGCCGGATCTCCAGGCGGGAGGTCGGATCCACGATGGCTGCGAGCCTGAGGGCGGGAAGGATCCGCGCCATCAAAGGGGCACTTGCGCCCCATTAGAAATCGATCACCGGGGCGATCACGCACCGGCAAAGGATGAGAGGAAGCAGAACGACTGGAAATGCAGCCTAGGGAAGGATCGCGATGAATGAAAGACCACAACAACTGCCGGAACTGCTGATGCGACTGTGCCCCCCAAGCCTGACCCGCCGGATCAGCCAACAAACGAGTGTGGAGCGGCTCAGGGAGGCCGCTGTAAACCCAAAAGATCCGATTGAACTCTGGGACAGCAGCCCCTGTGGCGCCCCCCTCACCAAACAACGTGTCCATGCGGGTGAGAAACTCAAAGACAGTGGCGGGGGGGCGAGTGGCCAACTCCTGGATCTGCATGGTCAGACCCAGCAAGGTGGGGGGACACGCAAAGGGGCCGCACCGTATGACAGCTTGGGCCTCTTCCCAGGTGGTGGGTGCGGGATTGGCTTGCAGGTGTAGGTGCCAGTGAGCCGCAGCGTCCCCTTGAGAAGCACCGGGAGGAGGTTGATGCGGTAGGCATCGTCCTGGTCGCGGTGGCAGAGGCGGCAGTGGGCATCGAAGTGGATCAGAAATTGGTCCCAACATTCGCCCTTTGGATCGCCGGAGAAGGTGGGCAGCGAAGGCACCCCCCGGGGGAGAGGAGGAGAGCCAGAGGGGCCAGCAGCTGAACCGCGAGTGTTGCGGCCCCGTCGGCAGCCACTGGTTTCCGGAGTCGTGGGGGTCGCCCTGCCCTGCAGCACAGCCGTTGGAGGTCGGCTGGCCTCTCCACCTCGGACGGTGGGCGTAATCGGGGCAGTCGGTTGTAGAGTCGCGCGGTGGGCTCAATACTCAACGGGGATCGATCCCCAGGGCCTGCTGTCGGCGAGAGGTGGTGGCGCAGTGCGGTGGTGGTTCGCTGGCTCGCGGGAGGCCAGAGAGTGGGCCAGAACTGTTACAACGATTCACTGCATGCGCGCGCACATATCGCATGAGCGATGCCCGATCGCGGGTCCATCATGGTCACATCAAGACAAGACAAGTCAAGTGCGCGTCCAGGCACATCGTCACCGTCCACCGTTCACCTACGATCGACCTAATGTCCTCTAATTCCACGCATCTAACACCCGACCCCCTGGCCCTAAGTACTACAACTTCAGGAGGCCATATCGTTGCCGTTTCTTAACAGAATCGGGCGTTTAAAAGCTCGTTGGAACCAGGAAGCTCTAAATAATGTCCCCAAAAGGTGATTTAGCCAATTATATAATTCCCACTCCAGAAATGTCAAATAAGCCGAAACCCCAAGCAGCCACGTCACAGCGAGGGTAGGCCTCCAGGGCGGACAGCTGGCCCTGAAGAAACACCACCTGGCGAGAGAGCTCGTTGGTGGAAGCAGATCCGAGGGAGGGCAGGGCAACCTACGGCAGAGTAGATAGGGAGGGCACAGCCAAAGCCTCTCCCCGTGATCCCAAACCAGGAAAGAGCAGGGAACCGATCTGGGTACCCATCGGGCCCTCCAGACCGGAGGGCGCCGCCAATCCCGAGGCGGGTGGGACCACAATCAAAGCCGCCACAGAACCCACGAATATGGCTAGAATTGTCGACAAAGGAGTGGAGGTTGAGCCCGCTTCAGCCACCGAAAAGATGGGATCGGGGCGAGCGGAGCGGTGGCCGCGATCGGGCTAGAACTCGGCAAGGTGGGAAGGCGGCTGGAGGGTCCCACCCCCGCCAACATGTGGCGGAGATGCTCCTCCAAAAACGGAAGGAGTTGCCCAGCCAATGCGCGGGCATCAGGCAGGGCAAGCGGCCCCAAGGGAGCAGGGCAAGGAGGCCAGTTCGGGCTGCAAGAAAATGCATCGGGCGCCCCCGCGATCGGGCCCGCCGCCGGGGGCGTACTTGCCCGAGGAGGGGAGGAGGTGGGGGGCAGGTCCCCCCCTGCCGATTCAAAAATGGTGCCCCCCTCGGCCGAATGGGCCTGGAGGGGCGTGCCAATCGGGTGCATGGAGACCACGCCGCCCGGCTGCGCCGCAGAAACGGCCGGTAGTGGTTGATCGTCCCCGTCGTCGCCGATGGCCTCGCCGGAAATCGCCTCCTCAGACATTGCGATGGAGATGGCAGAAATTGGCGGGGATGCGGCGAGGGCGGCGATCGAAGGGAGGCGGAGCGGCAAATAAAGGGAGGAGACGCGTCTTGGAGTAAGGGGGGCGAAAGAATCGCCCGAGGTTCCACGAACCGGCTCAACTGAGATGTTGGCGATGGCGGTGTGCAAGGGGTGAAACTGCGATCGCGGGCGCAGAGAGCCGGCGCGAGGACAACAATGGACCCCAAAGTACTACGCAGGGCCCTGGCGCCGGTACACAGGGGTACCCAGTACCGATGACGGTGTAAGCAACCAACACTATAAATAACCGTAACCACTGTGGGTTGGTGTGTAGAGGTTGTCGATACCCAGTACCGGTGGTATGATGCAGTGCTGCTTTAGCGCCAGCATTACTGAAAACATAATACCCACGTGTTTTACACCACACAGCGCATCAATAGCGATGCGACCACAACACAGAAAAAGGCACAACCTACATTGATATCGCGGAGGGGCGTATGGCTAATGATGCCGCAATGGCGTTTGGCTTGGGGAAGCGGGCGTGGTGATGATGGGGGGGGGGAGGGACAAAGTTGGTTAATCATCCATTGTCACAATATGACTTTTTGCATTGAGCTTGTGTAGTGGACCAATTTCAAACTTAGCCAAACATTGTAATGGGTGCCTCTTAGAACGCTGAGCACTACACAATGGCTGGCCTGCACTTGATAAGTAGTGTGATGGATGGCAGCCCCCGGATCTGGCCAGCCACCCTGGGTTTGATTTGAAAACTCTCCCGTAATCAGCGGGCCCACCACTTACTATTCTCATTGAGACCTTGAGAACTTCTCAGAGTTTTCTCTTGGCATTCATTCTCAGTGCACATATCGATTATGTTGTTGCCTTTGAATGCCATCGCACAGATCAGAGGAGCGACTCCTGACCCACACACCGCGACTTTGTCACCGAATGTGTCACTACATCACAAATCATGACAACCATGCGACTGCGACCATCCACACGGCGCTGCTGGTTGCTCCCACTGCCCCGTCCGGAGCTGTCGCGACAGCGCTTCCCCGCCGCCCAGACGTGCCCAGCCCCTCGAGCCCCAGCCCGCCATGCTGAAGGGCAAATGGTGCCTGGTGACGGGTGCCGGCCGCGGCATCGGCCGGTCGATCGCCCTCGCCCTCGCCAGGGAGGGCGGGTCCCTGGCGCTGGCAGCGCGATCCCGCGACCAGCTGGAATCCGTGGCCGAGGAGTGCAGGGCGGCGGGCGCGGGGCAGGTGGAGGTTCACACAGCCGACCTGTCGGACGGCAAGGCGGTGGACGCGCTGGCGGAGGGGCTAGTGGCCAGGCACGGCGGCGTGGCGGTGCTGGTGAACAATGCAGGGATTGCCGGGCCGGGAATGTCGCCGCTGGCTGGAGATCCGGATGAGTGGGAGAAGGTGCGCGGCAGACAAGCCACGAGGTCGATTAGGACCAACCTGCTTTTGCCTCCTGTTTGCTATGGAACACAGGTGTCCCAGCATTATCGGTTGTGTTCGTCTTGCAACTTGCTCTGTTCTCGTTTGTTGCAAAATGCTCAACACATTGCTGCATTTGTGCTGCTGGGGTTGTTGTGCCGGGGCCTCACTATCTACAGACCTCTATAGATCTGCGGAGGTCGTTGAGGTCAGTTCTATGGTCTGCTCGGTCTGATTCGGGTCGCAGACTAGTCCCACTATTATAGGCAGGGGTGCCAGAGATGTGAGATTTCTGAGCTGGTACTTTGGAGTGGGATTTCAGGCCTGGCAGGTCTGGAAATTTAGTACAGTGGCATTCCTCGAAAGCTCGATTGTCGATCCAGAACTGAAGACTGTGTTGCACCAGCAAGAGGTGATTTGCAGGGTACCCATCATTGGCAAAAGGCGATAGACAAGGGGTGAATCGATTGTCTGATGGAGAATAAACCAAACATTGCATTCAGGGCCACATGCGCTTCAGAACAACCAAGTTTCATGTTTTTATAGTTGCTGCACTTTCTGTGGATTGGGTTTTCTATCCGAATGGACTGGGCTGAATCGTTTCCAAACTGAAATCTGTTGCAGAAACATCTTTTGCAATAAAGGGCACCAGAATCCTAGCAGGGCGCTGTCGAAATGTCTAAACATTGTTTTCTTGTGCTTCAATGCACTGTTTCTATCGGTGTGCTTCGAGGTTCCTTGACACTATTCGCAGTGCAGCATTTTGGCTTGCCAAGCCAATTGCCATTGGTTTGTTGATTGTAGTGTGTGCCTTCCGATTCCAGTTACTGATGCTGAATCTCATGGCTGCGATGAGGCTGACGCGGCGGCTGGCACCGGGCATGGTGGAGCGCAATGAAGGGACGATCATAAACATCTCTTCAATCTTGGGCCTTGAGAATGATCAGTACAGTGGAGTCTACTCAGCATCAAAATTTGGCCTGCGTGGCTGGTCGCTGTCTTGCCATGAAACGCTAAGAAGGAGCAACGTGAAAGTTGTCTTGATCAATCCTGGATGGACAGACACCCCATTGGTTTGGTAAGTGCTGCCAGTGGCCAAAAAACTCACAGCATCCATTTCGATCCATGCTAACATTCTGTCAAACCATGTATTATGTCAGCCATGTGCTGGGCATCAAGATACAAGTTGCCAACATGGAAGCAAGATATGCGTACATTGTGTCATCAATGGGCTCTGCTGGCAGTGTACCACTGCCACTGTGCAATGAAAGCCCGCATCGTGACCTGATAGTAGGTTTTACCTTTGACCATGGTTTTGTGGACACAAATAGTGCTATAACCCAATTTTTTTACAGTATACAATATACATTGATGTTGTATTGTTGATTAAAAATGCTCTGCAGTCTTTCTAGGGAAGCCTTGCTTTGTGGACACCCAACACATTCCTAAAATATTCTCAGGTCCATTTTGGATGGTAACCTATACAAACATCGCTTTTGACGTTCCATGCATGGTTCTCCATCTTACAAATTGGCGAAAGAACATTTCTTCGAACAGGTGGCTGCAGGCGCACAGCAGTTGCAACCACACCCAAGCTGTGATCATGAGCCACTCTTCACACATGTTTCCAGTACTGGCAGTCTATCTCCCAGAGCAGCATTGACATCATCAGATTTTCAACTCTTCCACTGCAAGATTCAGTTTCCTCAGTGCAGTGGAGCACCCTTTTAGCAACATCTAGTACACACAAGCCCTGTAACGTATTGAGCCCCCTAGTACATTTTGCCAGCAGATGTTACTGGATGAATGTGCAGGAAGATACCAGGCGCAGTCCGTGCGGATATGATCACTCCAGAGGATGTTGCAGAGGCCTGTCTGCTGGCTCTGAAGACCAGCAGCAAGTGTGTCCCGACCGAGATCACTCTCAGGAACGCCTTGAATTGTGTCAGTGCTCTGCACGATCCCACGGAGCTGCTGATGGAAAGGATGGCCTCTCAGTAACGATCTGCGACTTGTGTTGTCAGCATTGGACGAAACGGATTCAAAAGCAGCAGCTGCAATGACAGGATTACTTCACATTCCATCCCATTGTGCACTACTGAAGCACGCGATGTTTGGTTGGCACCACGATTCAATGCACAGATGGAAATGGTTTACATGGATTGCAGGAAATGGCTAAAGCTCTGCTGATGGCATACAATATTTGTGTAGGACAGGCATAGAGCAGTTAACGTGAGACATGCAGTAGTTAAGAGCATGGGATTAAGGAGCCCGCTGGGGTGTTGCCACCGCTCAGTGTGGAGTTAGGAAAGCATTGGTGGCACTGGGATGCACTCTTGGACAAATTGAACAATTGCCGTATGCTGAGGATGAAATCGAGGCGTTTCCAAGAAGCATGCAGCAGCACCTGTGTAACTATTTCGCAACCCTCATTTCAGAAAAGTGGCACAGCACTTAGTGAGCCACCAGGTCTTTTGCCTGAAACGGCGTCCAAATTCACTGTACACGTTTGCATTGAGGTGGCCCAAAACAGTATTCTGGGCGCCGTGCTCAACATTCGATTATTCAATCAACTGTGCAGTTCTGGACCTATCTTTTGCGCCTCAAAAATCGCTCCTAAAGCAGAAGCTAAGGTGCTCAAGCATGTTAGCTCAAAAGACTCCGGGGTTCTGACGAGCATTCACCTCACACTGTGTTCGATTACAGTCCAATCTGCTCAAGTAAATGGCCACCACTGTAATCGAGAGAAAACCGTAGAGAAAGGAAAGATCAATGTGCTCAGCAGAAATCACCTTGATCCGCATGACATACGGTTACATTTAGCGGTCCTGCAGCTGCTGAATGCTCAAGGCTAACATGCGCACGCTGAACTTCTCTCCAGTGCACATGAATCGGTGCATTTACAGTTGAGACATCCTCCATCTCGCTGTTTTCCATTTTCGCTCAGCAAAACCGTCCAGAATGATCAACAATGAAGTCAATTTAAGGGCACTCCACGGACAGCACGGACGGCTGTGACTGGGCTGTGAACTGGTCAAGGAAAAGGACGAAAACCAATCAGCTGGATCCGCGAGCTGGCGGGATACAATACAGTTTTTTAGTGATGGATTTGGGGTGTACAGAATTAGGTTTAGTATGCGATTATGGTAGATTTTCCAGTACTATTAGCCGGGGACAAAGAGGCACAGCATGTGCAGGGCGTGTGGTGAGGGTCCCTGAGTGAGAGGCTGACCGGTTTGTAAGGGCCTTTTGAGTGATTTTCGTAGGGAAAAACGGCCAATTCCTGACCCGTTTTGAGGAGACCATGAACCGTAGGGGGTGTCCTTGAATGGACCTGAACTTTTGCAAAAGGTCCTAGGACCTTGACAGGACAAGTACTGGCAGGGTATAGGGGTCCAGTGAGGCGTGATGGGACGTTGTGTGCGGCTGCTAACAATACTTTGTGGTTTTGCACCCGTACGGGAGACCGCCCTTTTGACATTTCGTGTAATGTACCGTATGTCGGACGTGACCACGCCCTCCTGCATCTGGTCCGCGCGGGTTGCGCCTGCGCCCCGCCTATGCCCGTTGTGCCCGGTCTGCTTGGCGCGCCGCAACACCCCAGCCTCCCCGACCGTGCAGGGACCGTCGGAAGCCCTCCCTCGCCATGGCCGGAGCATCACCACATTCTGCAGGCGGGTCGAACGTGCTCGCGTTCGGTGTTGGCGGACCCTCCGGTTCCGCCATGCTCCATGGTGGAGCGGTGCTTTCTCTCCCTCCGGGGATATTTGTGGATCCGTGCACGCAGGGAAGAAGGGGCCCGGGCGAGCCTTTGGTCGGCCCAGACGAAGCGGGAAAAGTCGTGCTCGCGTACCGCAATGAGCTCGGTGGAGCGGAGGCATGGGCCATGGCCTCCGGCCCCGGAACGCCCCACTTGTGGCTCCATTCCGCTTTTAATGCCACGACGCGGTGGCGAGTAAGGCACCGGAACGGCCAGTTGTTTGCCGTCCAAGCCTACTGGGTCGCGGCGATCCCCAACATCCGGTTGGGCGATCGACTTCGGCGGAGTGTCTTCACCGCGAATTGGCGCGGCGAGGGCGTTTGGAGCATCTCCAAGTGAGATGCTTGGATGGCCGCCGAGCGCGACGGCCCGGACAGCCCGCCCGCGCCGTTCGCGTGGGCCGGAGAGGGGTGCGTGGGCGGCCTCGCCGAGGGGGATGGAGGCTTGCCGGTGGGGATGCTAGAACGCGCAAGCTGGCGTCCTGGAGGGTGGTCGCCGCGTCACGTTGGAAACGTTATGTAATGACGGAGTGGGAGGTGGAGCTGCCAGGCCCGGAAGGAAGCTGGATGATGCAGGGGTATAGTTGAGGGCCCGTATGTTGTACATGGGGGAGAATTAGGTGGAATGGGTCAGACAGCCAGGGAACAATACATACTACGGAACTGTGGGGTGTGATGGGTGTACATGGGATGAAAAGTGCATTAGGTGTATTTTTTGTTTGAATAGGGGGATTCCCCCTAATTTGATGTTTCAGAAACCTACTGCAATTAGTTCCTCGCAGCGTGAGTGGGAAGAGTAAGTACAACATTACATCCTGATGGGAGTACTGCCAAGGGGCGCTGACGGGTGTTGATTCAATTGGAGTGGTCAAAAGGTGACCTTTTTGGTTGTATTGTGTGACCCTTTGGAAAGGGTCAACTTGGTGAATATCAGTGGGAAATTCTGAGGAGTACAAGGAGTACTGGGGCCTTTTTCTTGAAGTGTCTGTTTGATTATCTGAGGGTCACTGAAGTGTAGTGCTGTTGGAGCCTTTAGGGGTATTTAGGTGGCGGTGGTTGTGTTGTGAGTGCCTCCCCCCCTCTCTCTCCAACCCCAATCCGTCCGCTCCTGTTTCTGCGGTCAGGGCGGTTGGTGTTCTGTTGCAAACGGTCGTGCTGTGAGTGTGTTGAAGTCGAACGTGGTTGAAGGGGAGCAGGTTTGTAACGAGCACTTTCGTTTCCGTGTGCCTTTGCCTCCTGACCCTCCGGGTCGATTGTCCTTTGGGTTGTGCACCGCTGCACATACCCACAGCTCGTTGCCGAGCTTGTTTTCTGGCGCGTTGACCGGCTGACCTGCGTGCGCTCACGTTGGGAACTGTCTTCATCGACTCAACGGCTCATCTTCATCGTCCGCTACTTGGTGAGTGAGTGGAGCGCAGCGCTGGACCGCAAGGAACGAGCATCGACAACATTGGTTTGCGACATCTGGAGATTGATCAGTACGCTCGATATAGTGAGCTACTGAGCGAGGTGTGGAGTGTTGGTTCGCAGTTTGAGTGTGTTTTTTTGTGCCTCTCGTCGAGCTGATCAGCCCTTGCATGTTTCTCGTTGTATGTGAATGGTTAAGGTGAGCTTGAACACAAAGTTCAGCACTAAGGTTGTGCCTCGCTTCGGCAGCGCTCGACCACACCCCAATTGTCCTGTTGGGCTTGAATTTACTTGTTGTGGTCATTCACGTTGTCCTGTAAGTGTTTATGAGCTCAGTTGGTAAGAGTGTAGGAGCGGAATGCTCAGAAATTCTGGGCGATTGACAGAGCTGTGATAGTGGCTGTGTCCTTAGTGACTATCATTGAGCGTATATGCCTGGACGTTGAGTCATATTGCTGTTCCTAAGTGTAGACACCCTCCTGGCGGTGCTTGTCAGCTGTTTGTAACATTATGGCACTCGAACAACGGCATGGCATGACTGCTCGCATTTCTGGTATGGTCTGTGAGAGTGGAACAATGGGATCCCATAGTATATTCAACCCTTCCGCATCAAGAAAATTTACCGTTACGCTTTTTCTTTGCATATTTTCAGTGCCTGTCTTTTCTTTTTGACATTGCTCCACAAAAATTTTATTAAAAGAGCGCCACTCATTTTACTGTGTTACCCGCCAAAATGGCCAAGCATTAAGTTGCTATGCGGAAGGGTCTTATATTATAAGCTTGGAACGCGGCTAAGAGCACCCCAGAAATGATTTTTAGAGTCTGACTCGGCATTCTTGTGTAAGAGTCGACCGTGTGACATGGGGCTACGTGAGTGGCGGGACTCTCCGGGTTGCACCGGTGGCTGCGCTCGAGGGCGGCCTACGGGAGGCAGGCAGCTATTGCTGTTGTGGCTGTGGTGCTCGGTGCCCGCTTATGCTCGACGCGCTTCTTCTAATGCGATGCCGCATCATTGCGACGGCCAGGGCCAATGGCTGCAGCGACGATGGCTCGCATCCCAAAACTCAATGGTCGAAGTTGCAGCCCCCAACAAGGACTCCCCATGCATCATAGCGGGAGCCAGCTCATGCGGCGGTGCTGTGCAGCCCTCGGCGCAGAGGCAGTGGCAAAGGATATAGCGAAGAACGTGATGAGCAAATCGACAGGGCATGGAAAACATGAACAACGCAGCAGCGTAGCCCAGACTGGCCTGGCCAGCGAGTCAGTGGCTTTGTACAGATAGCATAGGAACGAAAGGTGCAGAACGTCGGGCCGAAGGCCCAACTTCTGAACTGGTTTAATATACTACGGTACTGAGAGTTTGGTGGCTGTCTGCCAAACGCACTTTACACATTTGCATCGCGCCCAAGGCTGCCAAAAGAAGGCTGCCATTGTGCCAAGCCGGAATTGCTCCCAGGGACGTCGCCGTCATGTGACCGACAGTGAATGCCCGCACGTGATATTGCGCATATGTTACAGATAAACCTTGGTGGGAGGTGTTGTAGACAGTCAATTTTCACAGCGAGGGTCTGTGGATCCAGGCCCCCAAGATAGGGCAAAGGAGAAAGTGGGGCCGTGTTGATATCGAGTTCAGTTTGAAACCAAGGAACCTGTTCTGGTGCGTAAAATATACATAGCTATAGATATGGTACCTGAAGAGTGCAAGTATGCCTTTCCTTGACATTTTTGCCACAACCAGTACTTTGTTAATGGTTCAAAACGCGTACATCAACTGCATGCTTTTATCCCTGGTCAAACTGCTGTAACGTGGTTCCCCGGGTTGGGATGCCTTGAGAAGAACTTTAGATGGCCTGCAATGGGAACACTCTCTTCATCGATGTTAGATCAATATATCCAGGTTGGCATTGTGCAGAGCCAGTGACATCCAGGTTAGTACGAATGTTGGCTTGCCCAGTTTTAGGTCACCTACAACACCGAGTTGCTGCAATATGCCGTGGTTCTAGCACATAGTTTTCGGTTGCCCGTACCCTGGACCGGTTTACAACGGCCCCTATCGAATGGCACGTTGCGATACTGCTGTATCGTGGCGTATGCCGAAACCGCCAGTCCTCGCACGCCTCCGGGTCTTGATGCCATTTCTGCTCCGAGGCAAGTGAAACTGGTACACAAAGGCTAAGGGAATCCCGTTGATGTAGTAGAAGTTCGGGCTGTGCGATTCCCAAGTGCGTGTGACTACTTTCACTGGCTAAAGCACAGCGATTCTTATCATGGACACATGTTCATTTTGGATTTCAACTTCTGCTCCTCTTTTTTAACATCATCTGTGTAGGCTGCAGATGACCGGACAACAGATAAAGCAAACGCACGAGGGGCAAAAAGGGGCTTTCGGATTTGTGCTGCCCTTCGACGCCCTCAAGGGACAAAAGCGCCGCATCGTCTTTTGAGGCCAAGTTCAGAAAAAAGGAATTTGGGAAGTGTGGGCGCTTGCATGCGCTTCAGATTCTGGTAGCAAATCACCATGTCGGGTCATTGAATTGATTATACTGGGCTGGTGTTCTGGAAATGTGAACAGCATTGTAATTTGGGGACAACAGTCCGCACAACGCCCATGACTATTTCAGGTGTCGGCTTTTGCAGCGTTCTGAAACAGAAGGCAGACATGTGTGATCGTGGGAAGAGGTGCGAAAGT